TTTAGCCCAGAGACGCTTGACGTCCCTCTAGAGGGACGCCTTCATGCGAGATAGCTACATCCTAATCTCAGGCACGGGAAAGAAAGTTCCCAGGAATGAGCCGGATGTGACGGGCACGCAGAAGATTCGCCCGCTGTCCTCGTGCCGCCCCCGTTCCCCACTCGATCGGGGGAGCTGCCATATTTGGATTCGACTGCCCGTGCCAACCACCCACGACAACCATCCGAGTCAAGTCGGGCACCCTCGTCAAAATGTGCGTGGGGGCGGGGGTTCTCTCCCACCGGTACACCTGGACGCCGCGCCACTGCTGCCTCACCAAGAACGGTCTCCGCTACTACACGCACGAGGGGGGCGCGCTCAAAGGCACGATCCATTTGACCACATGCACACTGCAGTCGTTCGAAGTCATGCCAGTGGATTGCCCCAACACTGGGCGCTCCGTCGCGACCGGGTGGCGTTTTGCGATTCAAACCCCCGCCAAGCGGTACATTCTAGCGGCCATGTCCGAGCGAGATTTGTACGGGTGGCTCCACGCGCTCAAGGGCGTCGTCGTCATGCTCAACGAAGAGAGTCGGACAGATCCAGTGCCGAGCCGCCCCCCGCGGGCAGCGCTCATTCGGCGATGGTTTCGGCTTTTGTAATGACATGATGATACTCTCTTCTCGGGGCTTCCGGGGGAGATGGGGGAGATCGAGCTGCACCAAATTGGGAGGTCGGCCCGTAACACGTTCAAAGTTCCCCTGGCGAAATGTTGAATGCGGGGGGGGGGGCACTCTGGGGCATGGCACCTCGTGCGGCTCGGGGGGTGCTGAATCGAACTCGTGGAGCTACTACGGCTACATTTTCCCCAGCGGTAATTTCCCACAAACTGGTTCAAATTGTATTGTCGCAGCATCCAATGTGCAAGATGAAAATACTGTAGTTTTAGCCAATGGGTGACATATATTTTCACGACCTAGTACATGATATTATGCAACATTTTTCTTGGAAGGTTTATCAAATTCATGCACAATCGAGCTCATTTCACCATTGCTGTTACAATACATCGGAATCTTCCCAAAATAGTAATATATACCGAAATATTTTGAGAACACAGAGACCAAGGGGTATTGGGTTCTATCGAGATGTCGCTGTGCGATATGCCATCTAGTCAGTGTGCGCTAGAACCCCAACACGTCCGTTGTAGCCTCCTGATGAGCCTCACCCAAAGAGAGCTCACAAAAAATGCTTCTTCAATGACGTCCAGCATATTTTGATTTCCACTATTCTCATCTCTGTTGAAATCATCGACCAGGAATTCAAAGGCAAAAAATAATCAAAGCTACAAGCATAAAATCTTTAGACTAGCTCCTCTAAAATTGTTCACTCGTCAAAAGTCCCGCTAAACCTCGTCCTTCATGTGTGTCACGTCGAGTTATGGCCAACACCTGGTTCACGAAAAGTCGGTTGTGTCTGCAGCCGAAAGAGCATGGCTATGGTTGTGCGCACTAATGAAATCAGGGGAGGATATGCCATGTGAAATTATCCCTCGCACATTCGATAATGCGCTGCCACGGGACTCCTGTAATGTAGACGAAACATTCATCACTTTTGAAATATTTGTGTTTTCAAAAGTATTGTAGAATTTGTCGCAGGCTCGTCGTGGTCGCGGTTGTGCAATTTGTGAACTATTTTCTACCAATCTTCGTGGATAAAACACTTTCATTCAAAAGCAACCTGAATATATAAATGCTGTCACTTTATTGCCAATACAAATTTCAAGAGCACTTGTCTGTTCCACTGGGGACGTTTTTCCGTCGCTCGCTGTTCCAGAGAGGCGGCGCGCGCTTGAGCTCTTCAAGATTCGCGGGGTTTGGGAGTTGGGGGGATGTGCTTCGCGGCTACTGCGGTGCACGGAACGACTTCAAAAAATTCCCGCGGTGGTACTGCCTTCTTATCTTGAAATGTGTATAGGAATAGCACGGGCGTTGGCTGCAATTTAATGGTGTGCCACGATTTGTACTCTATTTTGATTGGCCAAAATGATTTCGATTTCGACCACGACGTGCAGTGGATGCGACACGCAATTCCTGTGGGCGTTGATTGGCACCACGAATTGGACTGTTCAAAAGAAAGTGTGACCCGCGCAGGTGGCCTCTCCTCTCACGCTGCAATCGTGCGCTATTGTGCCGCTGTCGCCACAGGTGCTGCATGGGTACCAAGCAATCCATTTTCCCTCACGAGGTGATTGTGTTCATGTGGAGGGCAAGTCGTATGTGCGAGTACTCAAGCGGGGGAAGTGTCGCCATACTAACATACACGACGGATGTGACACCCAACTCCTTTGACGGCTGGTCCAAACCAGCCCCCTCGGAATGTATTTCGTGCGATGAATCTGGACCAGGTTGGATAAATTTGTTGTACACATTCGTTGTTGGCACATCTCGTGGACCACGCCTTCCACTCGAATGTCGTCGTCGAACATCCAAGCGTCAAGTCCTGAGCATGCAACGTGTATCATATCCTTTCTTTCGTCGTGGACAATATCGGCATCCATTGGCTAAAATACAGGGATTTTGCTCCAGTGCTCATGCAAGATGCTCCTCAACCCAGCGCGTGGTACAATCTTCCGGCATTCCCGACCGCACACGAGTCGATCCGAAGCCGACAGGCGAGCTGCGATGCCGTCCCCTCGGCAGCAAATACGTGGACAGTCGCTGTGGCGAGAGGCCGCCCCCTTGAGTGGCGTTGTCATGCGAGGGAAGGGGGTGTCCTACTGGCACACATAGAACGGTATCTATCTACTGTCAACACGGATAACGAGCGGATGCCGATACCCCAGTCGCGAGCGCCGCAAAAGTTGAAGCTTCGGCCACGGTTGAAGTGGAGACACTTGCCCCATCCCATGCATGCCGCTTGACTTGAAGCACCCGTTCCGACGTGGAGGTTGCAACATGCCCGACCGGGTACATATCGCCCTGGTAGCCCCCCGCCAGCGCAACAACGTGGGGCGGGTCATTTGACAGGTAGGAGAAACGCACAACCCGATATCGGGTGAAGCGAGTTCTGTACGCCCAACGGCGTGGAGATTTATGGCATGCAAGGCCGTCGATGGGGATCGGGCTTTGCGAGGCATCGGCCCATCTTTTGTGCCCGACGCCAACCGCGACGCAATCCCGTCACCCGTCCATGCGTCGGTTCAGCGGCAGTGCGACGTAAAACGTGTTTGCGTCGAAAAAACGTTGAAATGTGACGGGCGGTCCCACGTCTATAGTAGTGCGTCTTATATAAAACGCACACCAGCACCGAGACACGCGACTACAAAGCGTCGTGTGTTACACTCGGACCTGCGATCGTACCGTCGCGACCACCCCCCACGCGCCTTCGCCGCCGCGCGCTAGTCATTTCTCCATTTACCATGGCCTTCAAGACCGGCACGTTGTACAAGAAGGGCTCTGGCAATGGGTTCTTCAAGCGCTACGACTGGACGCCGCGCCACTGCATCCTCACAAGCACCGCGCTCCACTACTTCACCTGCCAAGACGGCGCGCTGAAAGGCAGCATTGACTTGACCGAGTGCACACTGCAGTCGTTGGAAGTGATGCCGGCAGACTGCCCCAAGACTGGCCGCTCCGTGGCCACTGGTTGGCGCATTGCGATTCAAACGCCGACCCAGCGGTACTTTATCGCAGCCCCGTCCGAGCGCGACATGCACGAGTGGCTCCATGCATTGAAAATTGCGGTCAAGCTCAACGAATTGCGATGGCTTCAATCGGCAACCACTGTGAAGCGCGCCATCCACTTCACGACTCCATGCGCTGCGCGCTAACTTGCATGGCCACTATTTAAGTAATTTATCCCGATTCGAATTCGCCATGACTGGGTTCACACGATTCAAGTTGTCCGGGCAGGACGGATGCGTGACTCAAAGGGCGTCGAACGCGAGCGGTGCACCTGGCACGAGCGATGGCAAGTCTGTGGACTACCACGTCGACGCGTGGTGGTCCGAGCCTACGTGCCCGCCCAGTCCACAGGCGCTTCAGGGTCGGCGCCGTCGTTACCGTGTCCATCCAAGCGGACGCTTAGCCAGCCATTCATTCCTTCCCCAGAGTGATACCTGGTCGGATCAGCAAGCCATGGTACATATTGCGTCCATACAAGCTGAATCACCGTATGAAGCTGGGTAGCAACCAAAAGTTGATTTGTTGTGGATGCAGTTGGATGTGGGAAAAGGCCCTGGTCGGCGGCGTTCCTGTCGTGGCTGAAAAAGAAGGGGCTCGATGGCGGCATGGCCGTTGCGGGCCGCACTCCACGGCGACTTTGAGCATGTCTGCAAGAGCCACTTGGCCACCGGAGTGGCGCGTGGTACACATAGTCGCGTTATCGACGCCGTCCGATGCTGGATTAACTAGCCCCACGACATAAACTCGCCACAACGGTAAATTATGAATATTTTCAACTATTTTTCGAAAGTGAAAAATCTCGAAATTCTTGTGGTTACAGTGCTCCATCCGCATATCGCACTGCATTTGTTAGAAAACGTGCATCGAAAGTCCAGATAAAATCATACGGATAATGCTCAGTTATCCGAATATGAAGAACGATGAACGCTTTGGCGCGATTTCCATGAAAGGTCTGACGACCATCTCCTCTTACGCGTGGAGAAGCAACCGTGCCAGCTCCAGCGAGGTGCGAAAAAATATGTTGCTCGATTCTTCGGCCGCGATTGCCACACCATGGGTGAAATCTGGATACGTGAAAAACTAGTATGGCGCGGAGGACTTGCACGCGAGGTTGTGTGCAAAGGCATTACTTACTACCCAAACGAATGGACGTGTTGCCGTAAGCTTGATTGCACCGAGTTGCCAGCACGCAATTCTGCGCTACATTCCCTATGCGGTGATGCGTGAGCTGGCTGGCCCAACAAACTGCGGAGGACTTGGAAATGAGCGACATATTGACAGCACTTGAAATCGTCGACCTCGATGAGGACAACGGTGTTGGCAAGTGCAAAAAGTGTGGTGTTGGTATGTAAGTATTAACGTAAATTTCTCATT